GGCTGTGGGGCTGAGATATTTTAAGTACAACAGCCATAGGGTTTTTGCTCTATTCAGTTCTTGGGATTGATATATTCTCCTTGCTTTCCTTCTCCTAATCCCTTTGGCTTCCAAGGCAAATCTAGACAGAGGGATCTGGGTAGCCCTCTGTTGTACTAAACCTTTAGTGGCTAAACTGGTCACATTCCTGGAAACATAAATTCTTGAGCCATAAGAAAAGCAAGTAATCACCACAATAGTTCTGTAGTCTCAGGCATTCTAAAACAAATGTATATGACCGTTCCTGGTAGTAAAACACTCTTGTAGGCAACCAATACACTGAACTGGGAAATAATATCCTATTTACTCAATTTCTGCATTTAAAATCAACAGTAAAGCACTAAGAATCACTTCAACTCATGTCCCCAAGATTCAAACTTTAGCCTCATCTTCCCACTCTACATTCCCTTCCTCAGGGATCAGCTCCTCCTATACCTCCTACTGCCTCCTTTGGTCATATGGCCCCTAATGCCTTCTGGGCTCATGCCCAACATCCCCACAGCAGCCACGTGGAGCAGCTGCCGGGACAAAGCCTGAATTAGTTCTCCACCTGCCCCAATACATCAATGTGTCTACTCAAGTTGGGGGACACAGAAGGCCCCCGGTAGGTGTATGCTGTAGGAATATCCAAATGAACGGCATCGGGGGTCCTTATGCTTGCTCAAGCAGCTGAGCATGGTGGGAGTCCATCTCCAGGAACCCCAATGGTATATTTCCATGCCTTCCCTCTTGAAGCATCAAAGCACACTTTGGGGGAGAAATGGAAAGGAGATTAAGGATGTAAAGAATTCACGATGCTTGGAGGGGTGAGGAAAGATGGCCAGCTGGAAGCAGCAGAGAGAAGTCCAGTTGTTGTTAGAATACCCCATGAGCACAGCTAAGCACAGCTGAATGTGGTTTTTGAAGTCACTGATGAACACATCTAGTCTGGGAATGGAACTCCAGCTGGTGAGCACAATCAGACATGACAAGCTTCTCCAGGGCCTACTGAAATCATCCATATTTTCTCACGGACAGGTGGGCATGACAGGCACCCTGGGATAAGAAGCCAGAGGGGCACCTCCTCCGCCCTTTCAGCAGCAACTCACACTGTGCCCAACGTGGGTGCCACCCTCCCAATCACACACAGCTGGGGACGTAAGCAGTCAGCAGGCATGACAGCTTGGTGACTCAAGTCTTCTGGCCAGGAGTCACTCCTTTACCTGTCTCAAGAACTTGCACTGAAACAAAAAGCTCACATATTATAGCCAAACCCTATTACAGCTCTTGGTGTTTTGCAGGAAATTCCACAAAATTGAAAGTTACAGAGTTCAACCAGTCTATTTTTGAACACTGGATGAGAGAGCATATAGACTGCTCCATACTTACACTAGTCCTGCAGGACATTAATGGGAGTCAGGTTTGGGTCCAAACACCATATACACGCTGCTTTCTGTCTAGAGCAAAAACATAGAGAACCATGCTCATTCTGTTTATCCAAAGATTTCCTAACTCCTACCAATGCCAGAAAGTAACCATTATTTTCACAACGTTAACTTCAATTTAGAAAAGGGAACTGTCAAACATGCTGGCACCTGGTTTGTTACCTATGGAGGTCATCCAAAGGGTCATAGTTCATGTCTATGGAACTCCTCTCTACACCAGAGATCATTTGGAAAGAAAATGGAAGGGAAACCAAAGCTTACTACATCAGAAAAGCCACTGCCATTGCACAAAGATTTGGAACAGAAGGGAACCTGGGAGCCTCCAATGTTGACAGTGCCTTTTGAGGCTGAAATGTCAGTTACTTGAACAGAGTCTGGAGATTCATTCTGTTGGAATTTACCCCAGTGAGTACTTCCACAGCCCTCTACTGTGGGATCTCTGATTCTCTGCAGTCAAGCCTGTGAGTTCCAGCAGATGCAACAACCCTTAACAAGGACCTGATGTCAAACCCTCATGTAGCTGCTAATTAGCAGATGCATTCTCGGGTCCTCACCACTGCAATAACAAGCCAAATCCTGCTCTCCCCACTGTGCTAATATGTGGTATATATGTTACCAGCCAACAAGCTGAGCCTCTCACGCTTATATTCAAAATAAGGGGAAAGGTTTCAGGGTACAGTGAAACAAGTTCAATGACACCAAAGGGAACAAACAAATCCAGAAGGTGGGATACGCCACAGGACACCTGATCCCATTTTTACAGTAAGTCAATGACATGGGGAAAGCAAGGGGGGGGGGGCGCCAGGCGGGGAGGGTAGCTTGCTCACTCTAGATTAAAAGAATAAAGAGACCAGATGTGATGGGTGGACTTCATGTGGATCCTGATTAAAACAAAATTACTGTCCAAGGGCATTCCTGACCTTCAGGGAAGTCTGATTTTGCCTGGGTATTAGGTAATACCAAGGAATCATGGTTTATTTTGTTAGGTGAAATAATAGCATTATGGTTTATACAAGAAAACGACCATATTTTCTAGAGATATTTACTGAAGGATGTAGGGGTAAAAGGACATGCTGTCTGGGATTTTAAATTTTAAAGCTTTTAAATGCTTTAACAAAGAAAAGAGAAATGGAGAATTATATGAAGTAAACTGATGTAAAATCTTGATAATTGTTAAATCTGAGTGCATAAGGGTTCAATGTACTATTCACTTCATTTTTAAATATGCTTAAATTTGTTCATGTTCAAAAATTCATGTGAGGGGCGCCTGGGTGGCTTAGCTGGTTAAGCGGCTGCCTTCAGCTCAGGTCATGATCTCAGGATCCTGGGATCGAGTCCCACATCGGGCTCCCTGCTCAG